CAGGAATTCATTTTAAAGGCCTCACTACACCTTTTGTATACATGATTCTATTCTGGAAGTAATTAACACGTCATTGTAGTGCTCCAACAATATCACCTTTAAGGAAATGTACTCAAATGTAAATGTGAATGTATACGTTGAATGAAAGCTGGAACTAAATTATGCAAAGCTTTGTTTCAGTCTTGGATTTATATATAGCTTCATTATATAACTTTTGAAAGAAGAAAAAAACGATTTTCCGCTTAAAAATGAAAAGCTGAATTCATATAGTAGAAGACAGAAATGGCCATGCTTGCAGTTTTTTTAAATTCCGATATCTCACGAGTTTGTTGAGCTCATGGAGATAAGGTAGCATATGATAGATGTATATAATAAATCTGGTGCTACAGTCTGTTACACAATGTTTTAGCATGTCACAGAAGAACATTTATTTCAGTGGTTTTATTACGAGACATAACAGACATATATAGATCAACATCAGCTGTTTCCATATCAATCACATTTGTATATATAAAAAAGCTGTATATAATGTACATATAACTCTTATTCTATTTGTATTATTTTATTTTTATATCTTGTATTTTATGTTGTGTTGTATCTGGAGCTGCTGTAGCCATTGAATTTCCCCAGTGTGGGATCAATAAGGTCCATCTTATCTTACCTTCTAACACCTAAACACCAGGTGTTACATTTGAGAGTGGGTAAAAACTAGTTAGTAAGCACAAGAGGTCACAAAAGTTGGCTAAAAGTAATGGAGAAATGGTCAAAATTGCTAGAAGTAACAGATAAATTATCAAAAGAATTAGCTAAAATCAAAATTCATTTAAAAAAAACATCTAAAAATGGATAAATGGTCACAATAGCTAAAAGTAACAATTACAGTACAGTACAGTGCAGTGCAGTAATATCAAGCTTTTATTTTTGTGTTCAAAAACTTCTGTTACATCTGTTAACGTCAGTCACAGAGTCACTGTTTGTGCTGCATGAGTGATGATGGTTTGAGTTTGTTCTCTGGTTTCAGGCTTTGGGGGAATTTGTTCACGCTCCAAACCAACGATCACCGACCATGACACTAAAAAAAACAGCTGCAGAGACAGTTGCACACAGTTAGATAACCAAAAGTGCCTCTTTGACTTTATCGTATCTTAGTGAACATCACTCCATCCTCCGTCACCATGCATCCTCCTGAGACATCTGCAAGTTCCTGTTGCTTAGTAATAGTCCTCAGTGCTATGATTAAAGTGAGCTTCAAAGCTCTGGGCACGCTCATTACTCACTGCTGGCTGCATAATGAATCCCAGGGAGGAAGCTGATTAAGAACGCCGTCCTTCGTAATCACAAGTCAGGAGCAAATCAAACTCAACTCATGTTGGCGTTCATTGGAAGAATCTGTACCCTGGCCAGCTGCAGAGGGTCACAGAGGTCACCTGAGGTCTCAGCAGTCTGGTATCTGCTGGAAAACAACCTGCTGACCTTTTCTGGACGGGCGGTATTTTCCTCGTGATGCTACGAGCTGCCAGCAGCCTCATTTGCTCTGCTTTCATGTCTCACAGTCCACACAGATTAACTTCTCTTTGATGTGTCTTTTGGGCTGACATTAAAGGTGCACAGCTTTGAAAGGCATTCTATTTCGTATTAAATATTGACTTACAATCATATTCATTACACAGGCAACTGAGGATGGGCAGCTAGCTGTGCCAGCAGGTATGATATCAGACTATAGTACATATGGTACTAGAAAGATCAGGTTAGGAAATCTGATTTAGGTTCTAGAAGAAAAGATGACATTATCCATATTAAATTGCGTATTCACAGTTTGTTCTTATTTTGTTCATCATTTTTTGGATTCACCATTGTTTTATTGTTTTTGCTCTTCTCTGAGGTAAGAGAACATTTATCAGTCCACACATTCTTTGTTATTACAGGAAATTTAATTCTGTTGCACCAAAATTTAAAATGTGATCCAGTATAAACTTATACCTATATGTTTTCATTAATCACCTGAAAATAGGGATTGTTGTGTTATCTTATAATGAGAGGTTTTATCTCTTCTACCCTTGCTGAATACACATATATATATACTGAGACAATGTTGTTTTTCTTTTTCTCAGTTCACACTGAACTGAACCTAACAAAACTAACAAACAGAAGGAATGTGGTGTTTGCTAATGAAGATGCTCCTCTTGTTATTAAAATTAGAGTGTGGTTTAATATCTACAAAGAGCTTCTGGGGGTGGTAGTTACTCAAGTGGCTTTTTGTGTAAATGTCAAAGGTTTATAGGAGCATACAGGCTCATTGAGTCAAACTCAGTGCAGAGCTTAGACAGGCGGAAATCCCAGAGACAGATTCATCACAACCTGGATAATTACAGCCAGAACCATCGGCATGGATAGATACTATTAGGGGTAATTAATTAATATTTAAATCTTACTAAGTTGATTTAAATTGAAGTTAATTTAATTGTAATTTTATTTTGTGTACATGGGATCATCAGAATCATTCAAATAAAATGCAGAAATCCAGAATTTACATTTTTATATATACTGACAAATTGCACAGCCCGCCTACACCATACTGCGCCATAAAAATCTTAACACATGCATTATATACATTTATTATGTAGTACAATTATTATGTAGTATTACAATTTGATATATATGCATTCATTCTAATTGTTATCGTTCGTTATTATTTATAATATATCCACAATAATATCCACAAACTGCAAGAACGCTAATTATCACACATCAATTGCCACACAGACCCTGGGGCTTTGGGGGTCCATGGGCAGTTGCTCAATTTGCCCATCTGTGGTGTGAGACACTGCAAGCAGAAATCTGAGCTAACGTTTTCTTTACACACCAGAACTGCAAGGCTGTGAACTGACTGGAGGCTGTTGGTCAGGCGCAGCAGCTCATACAGCTCCCTGGCATTTCTATTATCAGCCGCGTTGCACAACACGCCTTCGCCTCGGCTGTGGAGCGTTGTGACTGGCAGACCTGGTCAACGCTTAGGGAAAGTCATGGTGCGGGGGAGTGATGCATGAATGCACAGCAGGCATATGTCGCCCTCGCAAAGCACTCAGCGGAGACAATGACAGGAAGTGGAGTCCCTGAGTGGAAAGAGGAGACACAGGTGGCGCACTGGGAGGAGAGTAATTAACGCAGAGCTTGCACGGAAACCTCCCAAACATCGCACCTTACATCTCAAACATATCGTATTGTGTTTGCATGCTCAGAGCGTTGCATATGCTGGTCAAACATAAATGAATCAACATTTGATTCACTCTCCTACACATATTAGTGCCTCATGTTAAAGCCGTAGCACAAGTAAGGATCATAAAGTGTATTTACATGCCTCAGTATCCCAGCTTATAGGATCAGGACTTTACCTGCATTTCTAGGTATCCGGAACAATGAGATATTAACATTCAGGTAAACACATTCAGTATTGTGGAAGATGCACCAAGAACACACATCTGCCTGTAACATGGGCCTACAAGTTATAATACTAGCTGCAAGAGGGACTTTGTCCTGACCTTTTTCAGCTCTATTACTCCTCTAAGCTTTAAAAGAAGGTCCAAACACCATGAATTAGAGGTGAAAAACATTCTATTACAGTATATGTCACTAAATATATATCATGATACAACACTTTCTGGGGATTGGCCTTCTTTTCCCAGAAGACATTGTGACATGTGAGCGGAAGCACATGTGATAATTCCAGATAGCTGCTTCAGTTCAGGGTCCTGGTGTTGTTTATGATGTCCAGACTTAATGGGACACTTTGATACACCAGAGACATTGTTCATGTTATTAGTAACACCTGTGATTTTCCTATTACAGGTCAGAATGTGTGCTGTTAAAAAGACTCATTCAAAACTATGGATGGATAAAATAGGCATAGGGTGAGAACAGGGTTGGGCAATCGGCTGATTCCATCACCTGTTTTTTTGGAGCAATATTTGGGTATTTTGCGATTTCTGTAATTCTATTTTTCTAATTTAAATATCTGCCTCCAAAGACTGAGAGCTGTGTCTCAGAGACAGACGATCAGTGACACAGTACACACACTACAGCTCTAGAGACAGAACATTTTCACAGCTAACTCTGAATAAAAAGAAAAGGTGTATGGTTGTATTTTTGTGTTGAAGAAAGTGGGTGGTGAATATTTCCTTTCTTTACATTTTATTGTTTTTTTTTGCTTATTATAAGCTAAGCTATATAACTATACAGGACACACAAAACAAAAAAAATTACATGAACAGAACTTTAATTAGTATCATTGGTAACACCTTAACTGTTACCTGGTAACAGTTTACCCTAACATTTCATGTCACAATGGCTGCTGTGAAAAAGGTCTGTTGGTTTGAATTGTGTGCAGCAGAACGAGCTCAAAAGCCTTTATAATTCATTTTCATTGGTTCTCACTTATGTTCATCCCAGCAAATAGTTTTATGTGTGCAGGTTTTTAGATTTTTGCCTCCAGCACAGTAGAATGGAGGTAAACGGAGCATTGAAAAAATATCGCCACAGAACCTGGACAAAAACAAAACAAAAAGCCTTCTACTATTGGCACAGCCAAGCCCAAAAATGACAGATTAGGCCAGTTTTGGGGTTTTTATGGCGGCAGAGATGCAGTTAAAGCATTAATGATGGCATTACAAGAGAGCGTGGGTGAATATAAGGTCAATTACAATGAGGTATTATGTAAAATAGCAACAAAGGGAGCTGTTGTTTTCTTGTAATTGCTGTTTAGTGCTGTTGTAGATATTAATTTACATGGATAGTAAACCACAGAAAAAATTTTCACTTGAAAAAGTGAAAGAAAGCTTCAATGAGAGTTTGCATGAGTGATGCAAGTTAGCAGAACAGCAGCTAGCCCTAAGGTGGACTCGTATTGACTCCCAACCCTACCAATGACCTCCAACATTGGTAGAGGATGACTGATTGATCTACAACAGGTACACAAACAAAAAAGCCATTCAAGACAGTTTACCAAGGTAAGAAATGTCTATTTCTTTATTACATTCAACAGTACAGTACACTGAAATTGCACATTTTCACCAGATATAGCAGCATTCTGACTGGCAAATGGACTAATCAATAGGCACATCCAAAACATTTAAACAGAAATACACACGTCCAAATGTGTTGTGGCCACTTTCTGACCATATTCAAATTCCATTTAAGCTGTTAATTTACATGCCTCATAAAACAAATTCTACGCAGCTAAAACACACCATCCTTTCCCCCACGACTGTTTTCAGTGGCAAGAAAAGACGTATGGTCAAGTCATATTAAAGGAAAAATTCACCTGTCTATACTTTCACACAGTATGAGCCATTCAGTGCATTCAAAGAGTTATAAAGTGTTTTAATTTGCTTTTATGGTTTCCTTCAGTTGACTACTTCACTTTAAGGTTTCTTTTATTACCCAGAATGACATTGTACCAGCCTCAGAGAAGAAGTGTGTACTGTGAGTTGAGTAGGTGGAGAGAGAGCTATAGCGTAGGAACAAGACAGCAAGTTTATTAAAGGTTGGATTCTTAGCAGGAAATGTCTTGTTGCTGCACTGCAATCTGGTCTACTGAGCAGAGCTGGGTATCGAACTGAAACACCATTTGTACTGAAAGCAATGTGTTGACAGAATCAAGTATTTAAAAGTATCAAGTATCAAGAGCTGACATCAAATATTTTGACAGTGTTAAATTTGACAGCATTTACGTAAAAATCTTCAGTTAGAACTCTGGTACTGAAAAAAGCATTATTGTGGTACTGGTCCCAAGACTCCGGTATTGTATCGACACTAGTATTGAGAGTTTTGCAACTATACCCAGCCCTACTGCGGAAGCTGCAGTTGGTGGAGATGAGTGCATCAACTGAGAATCCAATGGAGCCAGCAGATACAAACAGGACCATCTTCTGTATGATGAGCGGTTCTAAATGACCTTCTGCCGACTGAATATTACAAACAATGAAGTATGTTACTGCCCTGCTTTTAGTACAGTTGCCATGTTTTTCCCCTTTCAGTGGGAAGCAAAGGCCAAAACATTTTCCACACGGTGCGTCCAGTTGCCTTGTACCTTTTTGAGATCCCATGACCTATTGAGTGCCATAATGCAGTGGTGTCCAGCAATGCAATGCACTGGTCAATCAAATATTTGGCGCAAACTGGTAGATTATTCTCTAATAAGAACGGCGTAATTCTACTCTTTATATTGCAATCTTCAAGATGAGAAAATGATCATTGTTATAACCTTCCAGAGTACGGCTGGGTATCAAAACCTCAATACTTTTTAGTGCCGACTATATTGTGTCTGTAGCACGGTTATCAAAAACTGTCAAATACCAGAAGCTGACATCAAATGTCTGGTCACATTTGTTGTTTTTTCATTTACTTTTGATCAAAAAGTACAATGACTAGGGAGAACACATATTTGTGATAAAGTATTCTAAATTCAAAGTTAGCTTACTATTTCTGATCATTTCAACTGTATCCCATAGCCTGAACTGGGACAGGGGTTACAATCTCCCAACCATATCAACTTGGTAACACATGATTGCAGTTCTGTGTATTGGTCACACCTGAGCAAGTTCCATTATTATAGAAGGCTGTGGCATACGGTCAAAAATGTAGTGGTTTGTGTTTCAACATTTAACATTTGAAAAGTTGGGCTTCTTTTGTAAAATAAAACAAGCTTTTGTATTCATCAAGTAAGGTATCAAAAAGTACTGTTTTACCACTGGAACTCAGGTATGGTATCAGAACTAGTATCGGAAAATTTCAAACAATACCCAGCTCCTCTTCAAAGTTGTAAAATCCTGTTTAATGGTATTATAAACCACGGTGCACAGGTGTTTGGTATCTGATAAGCGTTAAAACTCAAATTGGACTTCCTGTATTGTATTTAATTTTCTCACTGGTACCTGTAGCAACACGCCCCCACCAACGCAGCCTCTGGCCTTTTGTAATGCAGTGCTGTTTCATTTCTCAACACCTGCTAAAAGAAGTATACCACCAAACAACAAAACAGGCCCAGAACTGCAAGGTACTATATGTAAAGATGTGTTTTTAACAGTGTTAAAGTGTTTGAGGATGGATTTCTCCTTTAAACCACAGAGCGATGCTCTCCACACACGTACACTGCGCTCGGCTGTATGCGCCTCTTTGTGTTGCCTGGCAGCTGAGGAAGAAACTTGAAGTACTTGGGCATCAGATCAAGGCAGGCGTCGCGGAATTTCTTGATCCGCCAGTAGTAAATGAGAGGGTTGAGGGCTGACTTGAGGTAGCACAACCACAGGACCCACGTGCTAATTTGAAAAAAGCTGTCTTTGTGGTAAAAGCCGTCGCTGAAGGTAGCTACCAGACTGTAGGCGGTAAAGGGTGCCCAGCACACTGTAAACACGGAGAAGAGGATGAGGATGGTGGTGAAGGCACGGGTCTTGAAGCTCATGTCTATGTTCATTTGGAAGGGCCTCTGCAGGCTCAGCAGGCCCAGTTTGCTGGCCTGGCTCAGACAGATGCTGTCTGGGTGGCTGTGGATGCGGATGGCGTTGTGGCGGATGGTGTTCAGGATCCCCATAAATGTGTACAGCATGACCATGAAAGGTATAAAGAAGAAGACTAGCAATAGTATCAATACATAGGCATGGTAACCAGGCTCAACGCTGTGGCCAAATACACACTGAGGGGCCCTGGGAGGGATCTGTAGGGGAGGGGAACCAACAGCCAGGGGGAAAGAGAAAATGAAAGAGAGTCCCCATGTGACCACGATGAGCACTTTGGCTCTCTGCGGGCTCAGCTTATCTTGCTTCTGGACAATAATAAGAAAACGATCTATGCTTATTATAAGCAGTATAGCCACGCCTTCCATCACAAAGAACCAAAAGAGCATGGCCGAAACTCGACAGAAAACGTCTCCGAAAATCCACTTGGTGGTCACGACAGTAACCAGAGCGAAGGGCATGTTCAGGATGGCCAGCATCATGTCTGCAAACGCCAGGCTCGCCAAGAGGATGTTGATGGCCGAGCGCATGGCAGATCTCTGGTACACCATCAGGCACACCACCACGTTTCCCAACAGAGCCAGAAGCAGGATGGCGACCATGATGAAGCAGAAGAAGACCTGCAGAGGAAGGCTGATGCCTTGCAGGCTCTTCAGGGCCTCTGCTGTCGGCGTGAGTGGCTCCGGGGTCGACTGGGAGCCAAGGGAAGCACTCGCCATGGAGGTGTTCTCCATCGACGGTCTCTTGGAAAGGTTCAGCAGCCCCGTAACGAGGCAGCAGAGACTGGCGTTAATGTCCCCTGCCTCTGGAAGGGGAACAGTAGTGGAGTGAACCATTCTTCCCCAGGGTGAACAGGCATTGTTGACGGTGAGCTCACGCTAAACATGGCACCGTAGATGCAGATATTCCCAGTTCAACGCAACATGGCGCCGTCTTCATGGCTGTGAGACCCTAAGATGTACACAAAAATTAAGTGAGTGCCAAGTAAATCAAAAAGGTCATGTCAGAGAGCATTATAAAACCAGATTAAACCAGCATCGTTTCCATCAAATTTCCCCTTGGAGTTGGATTGGCGGTGACAGTGAGCCTGTAATCCACTCAGGGTTACGCCTGCATCTCCCTAATTAATTCACACCGCTATCATCTCTCTCTGACCTACAAGCTCACCGAATGAGATAAATTATTAGTGCTGACGCTAAAAAAAATGTAAAATAAAAAAGGTATTTAGTCTTTGGATGCTAAAAACGGTTCAAAGTGGATTTGCACTGCAGCCATTTCAAGTTGATTTACATGCAAACTACTTCCCTTCCCTTAATCACAATTTGTTACTTACAGCTACAGTTCTGTGTGTACGAAAGCATGACGGATTCAATTACAGCATTATGATTAAAGATAAAATGAGCCTTGGAACAGGCAGACCTTCTGTTCATTTATATAGACGTCTCTAGATCTCATTAAAAACTGTGTGCAGCCTGAATGAGATGATGACCTAAACAAAGTTAATCCAAAATTTGAAATGTATATATTAAATACAGAGCTGGAGTCAGGACATGGTTAGCCTAGTTTAACATAAAAACCAAAAGCAGGGGTAAACAGCTCGTCTGGCTTTCTCCAAAATTAAAAAAACATAGCAACCAACTCAACATTTAAATACTTTGTAACTCATTTGTTTAAAAAGGTACAGTTAACCCCAAACATACATATTTGTCCTCTTACCTGTAGTGCTATTTATTCACCTAGGTATATTCTCTCCAATATAATAGACCCAGGTGGGACTTGGCTTGTACTGCTCAAAGCACAAAAAACCAAACATTTGAAACATTTGAAAAATGTGTTTCATGTAGGAAGGATTTCTTTCTACCGAACTACACCCACCAACCACAGCTGAACGTTAGCTATCTCAGTGGTGCTAGCTGAACTAGCTAACTTTATAGCTCAGCTACATGAAACTGCTAACAACAAGGTGTGTGGATTT